AAGAATTTTTTTATGAATATATTTTGAACCATGCAGGAGAACTGCATGTGATTTATCAAGGAGAATGAAAACCAGGGACAAAACCCCAAGGAGCACAAAAATACACGACCAAAGGATCTAAAAAAACCCTCGCCAAACTCTTCCGGACACACAAACAATGAATGAAAAAAAAATCAAATGTTGTTATCCGATGTATCAATCAACCCATTAGGGAAAAAGGATCATTTTTAGCAATCCTTTGAGGCAAAGAGGCTCTAAAAGAAATAATGCACATCCGTCGTTATCCTCCCCTTCAAGAAAAGATTAGGGTTCCTTTGCCTCCCGTCGGCGCCGCCGCTAGTCCATCTCATTTCCGGTGGCCTTAGGGCCATGGCGGCGCGGTGGATCCCGGCCCTTGCCGGCGGGAGGGCTTCGTTTTTAGATGTTTATTCAAGTTTTGTTAGGTTTGTGTCCTTCTCGGGAAGACGAGACGGCATCGGCTCCCTAATAAGGTCTTCCCCACCTAGTGCTCGTTCCGGTGATGTGTCTAGCATCGTCGGTGGGCATGTAGAGGTGTGTCTCCGACAGATCTATCCTTGGTGGATTTGCTCGGATCTGGTCGTAGTCCGTCTATGTTTGTGTTTCTTCAGGTTGAATCCTTCTGATCTACGCTACTCTTCATCGGCGGCGGTTGCTGTTCTGCTGCGCTGGTCCCATGGGGCCTTAGCACGACGACTTCTCGATTGTCTACTAAAACAAGTTTTTCCCGGCTTCGACGAGGAGGAGCGATCACGGTGGCGCGCCTTCGGCTCGCTTCGGTGCTTGTAGCGTCGCTAAGTGGTCTACGAACCTAAATGTAATTTTTATTATTTATGGTGTTCGTTGTATTGCCATGATTGAAGATGAATAGACACTAGTACAAAACAAGGCTTTGGTCCAGGCCGGGTCAGCCCATTAGTCCCGGTTCAGTCCAGAACCGGGACCAATGGGGGCATTGGACCCGGTTCGTGAGCCCAGGGGGCCGGCCGGGCCACGTGGGCCATTGGTCCCAGTTCATCTGGACCTTTTGGTCCCGGTTGGTGGGACGAACCGGGACCAATGGGCCTCGCTCCTGGCCCACCACCATTGGTCCCGGTTGGTGGACCCTTTGGTCCCGGTTCAAGCCACCAACCGGGACCAATGAGGTGCCTATATATACCCCCTCGCGTAAGAGCAGAGCACACTGCTCTGTTTTTTCTGGCCGAGGGGGAGAGGGCTTGGTGGTGCTCTAGCTCATCTCCTATGCACACAAGGTGTTCGATGGAATGCCCGAGCCACACTACTTAAGCTTTCTCCTCTCCAAGCTCGACCTCCAAGCTCCATTTTCCTCAATATTTGTCTAGATTTAGCGGTCTGTCACGCCCCGTCCCCGTCTTCACCGCCGTCGATCACCCGCGCCGAGCTCATCGCCGGCACCACCATGGTGAGCCTCTTGTTCTTATCTTCTTTCTGAAAGAAAAAATATTCTTACTTGTATGTTTACATAGATACTTGTATTATTTTCTTACTTTTATTATTGCATCTTATATAGTGCGATGGTTTTGGTATCCGCCCCCGTCGGCCCTCGTCATGTCTATGATTCGGATGTGGTATATATATTATCTTTATAACTATTGGTTCATTTATTGTTTATGAAAATCATGCCGACCAACGTGACATAAATTTTATTTATGTAGGATGTATGTGAATCGGAAATGCCAACCGACCCTATTGTCAAGAGGTTAAATTTAGTTGAAGAAGAAAACAATTTGTTGAAGGAAAAAATAAAAAAAATTGAGGAGGAGAAGATGATATTGGAGTTGCATGTTGCGGATGTCGTCGATGATCACAAGATCAAGATGGATGCAATGCGCTTGAAGATTAAAAAAATTAAAAAATATGCCATTCATACCGAGGCTTGGTATCATTATGTCGTTGGACCAATTGTTACCTTGGTTGCGATTATGATCACATTTGTTTTTGCATTGAAATGTTTTACATAGTTTCAATGTATGGTTTAATTAATTAGATGCTCT